GAAGCCTGAAGTCAACTAAAGGGCTAATGATGACCATCAAGACGCCTGCCATTTGATATAAATAAATAAAACTTTTGGTGCTTTGGCAGTACACAATAGCCCCCTAAAAGCTAGAATCTCATATGGAGAACGCAGATACGTGGTTGATCACTGACGGAATTTATTTATTCATTTATAACAAATGGCAGCTGTTTTAAGAAAATGTTATTATTATTATTATTATAACAAATGGCAGCTGTTTTAAGTGTTATCATTAGCCCTTTAGTTGACTTCAGGCTTCACAGAGTGGAGGACGAACATCAAAGTGAAAAATGTCGAGAGGGGGGGGGACAGAAGAGTGTTCCACAAATGTAAAAGAGGTAAACACAAAGGTAGAAAAAGGTAAGGTGAGTACTGTGGAAGTGGTTGAATATGACATACATTGGGGTCATGGTAGTTAGAGGTCAGAAGTCAACTGCCGATTAATAGACTTTTTTGTCGTATGAGTACACTTTGCCCAGGGTACACCACTTGAAGGTCAGTTTAATGCACACCCCTCACAGATGGACTTAAGAAAGAGGGAAGATGGCATTTAAAATTGAATCGAATAGGATCACTTCAAACATACCAGTACGCCAAGATACCCGAAGCTTGATAGCCAATCAATTAAAAATCATCTGATAATTAAGCCAGCCCAGATACATGGTATAATAGACGCTTTCGAAAGAATGCTACAGGCGTAGTTGAAATATGCCAAATAATGATTGTAATACTCGTTACTCATAGATACACTTTCAGAGCTCTTAATCATCACCCTTACTAACGAAATTTCATGAATTACATCTCCTTCCACCTGCACAGATTAATATTACCAACTGTAAGCAAATTCTCAGTCCACCTTACTGTAATAAGGAAACGCTATTGAAGTAGGAAATTACGATGCACAGAAGACCCAGAGAGGCAGTATGTGAATTTCCTAAGGGAATCAAAAAGATTGATGTGAATCGAAATATGGAGGGAATTCGCGTTGTACCTCTACTTCACAGTAGCTGCTAAAATTTACTCTTAATTTACTTCTCCTCCTTTGCACACTTGAATGCATCCAATTTGACAGGACGCATTGTTGCCATCTAATTTTGTACTTGCAAGAATGAGGAGGTGTCAAGGTTCCGAGTGATTGAGTTTGTTTACGTCTAATCGCAATACTTCGCATCTGAGTTCACCGCTCAAAAAATAGGAAAGAAAGACATTTGAATATCCAATTGAAATATGACATCCTTGGAGGCGTTTGCTGCAATTCAAAAAATGGCCCAATTAACCTTTCCAAAACAAGGCTAGGCAGTTTCAATGGTCACTCGAGTTAACTACGTAGGAACTATTTTGAAGTGTCACTAGCTTTGCTCATCACTGCTAATTGGGTGGGCACAACCCCATCTTCGAGAGACTGCATCACTTTCCTCAAATTTTCCCTAATTCAAAATCATAAGGGTGACCGATGGAGTTCATGACTGTGAGCAGCAAGTAGAGTTATGGTTTATGAGATTCGTTTAATCGAATTTTACAGACCGAGAGAAGGGCTTTCTCGTTTGTGCTTTAGTCTGGATTTAAGGCCGGCCTAAAATTGTAAAAAATTTGGAAGTAATACCAAATGGATGTCTTTCACACAAACATCACTCTATATCCATCACTCGTGTGTTAGGAAGACCTTGCATCAGACGTCATACGGGTTTATAAACAGCTTTGATTTATACCTGACAAGGCGGTTTTTCCTAGTTCAAACAATTATTGAGTAGAACAAGGGCTTTTTGGTGTTCCCAAGTGCCGAATTCAGTACCTAGCACAATTAGAGCGCTTAAATAGGAATTTTGTCAATTATATTACTTTTCCTGTTGAAGAGAAAAGCCGTACCGCTATTTAATGCTTCAATTCGTACGAATATTTGCTAGATAAGAAAATATAGGTAAAAGTAAAGTTTATTCATTAAATATTTATATTTATCAAATGGCAGGCGTTTTGATAGTTATCATTGTCCCTTTAGGTGACTTCAAGCTTCACAGAGGAGAAGGAATATCAAAGTGAAAAAAAGTCAAGAGGAGGGGGGAAACAGAAGGGTGTTTCAAAGACGAAGGTAGAAAATGTAGAAAAAAGGTGAGGTGAGTACTATGTAAGTAGTCGAATATGGCATACAGTGGGGTGTCGGTAGTTTAAAGTCAGAAGTCAACTGCCGAATAATAGATTTTTTTGTCGTATGAGTATACGTTGCCCAGGGTGCACCACGTGGATGTAAGTTTATCTCACATCCCCTAATTAAGCCATAAATTGCAATTTTTTAAGTGCCAATTATAGAGCAAATGAAGTACAGGACAAGCATGATAATTGCAGTGAAAAATCTCGCGCATTATTGAATTTGAACCCTTTAGGTGACTAAGATGACCAAAAAAATACATCACCAGGACGATTCCTTAAAAGTAAAATGGATTTAGGTACCCCCCTCCCCCCCCCAGCTGTTTTCGTTTAGATCCTCTCAATGCTGTGACCTTTTGCAGTTTTTTTTGGCACAACAATTTGTGCAAGCGAAAGCTTAGAAAATAAACCTTGAAATATAAAGTAATAAAGTGAATTAAAGAGATGGTTTTTTTCTAGCAAATTTTAGTAAAATGGAGGCAATTTCAAGAAAAAACTGATTCCAGCTAAGAAAAGGTTTCTCATTCATTTAAACCGCCTTGAAAGTTCAATGTTTGGATATTTAAGATGAATAATAATGGAGCAAATATATAAAAAAATTTTGTGGCACGCCCTGGAGTTTAGAAAGAAAACGTGTTATTGTGTTTAAAAGTGCACTCTAAACTTGACACTTTGCGAAGAACACAAAACAAATTTTGCTCAATGTGAGTTCACGTCAAGTTTAACCTCATTTTGATACGAAAATAAAGGAAAACAATGCTCATCGCCTTTTTTAACAATTATTTTGATCTCATCTCGTTTTAAAAATTTCGCCCGCGATTAATGCCCATATTCATCATGAGAGCAATTATTTTAAGGCATTGGTTCAAAAGGAATTCAGAAGCTCTTGAAAAGGAACTAACTTTAGCACTTATAAATTAATTCGACGTAAGAGTCAATAAGGAGCATTGGATATGTTCAAAATGTTCACAAAATAATTAGTATCTAAGTGCGTAGAGTTATTTAGGTGTGGTTCTGGAAGCATAGTCGGTTGTAGACTTTTTCTGAACACGAATATACTTTGCTGAAATACCTCAAGATGAAATGCTTGCATATCATTTCGGCCAACGGGGAAGACAAAGAAAAGTATGCATAAATGCGCACAAATAAGAAATCGCGCATTTTACAAAGAAATGTTCGGATTCAGTTTATGCCCGGCTGTGGTGAAGGTAACAACCAACCCCAAAGCAGACAAAGAAAATGACAGACATTTTACACTTCTTTCATTAGAGCCTGAACGCTTTCAAGGCTACTACTAAAGTTATTACTGAAATGTATGGTCGAATGCTTACAGTTCATCTATGTCAATTTCAGATTGCAAGATGCTCGTCTAATAATAGGATTTCAACTAATTAACTAAAAGTAGGATGGCGAGCGAATTTTGGCAATGATGTGTTAAAATGCTTGTTTGAATCGAATTCCCCAATTAACTATGGAACTATTGCAAATACTCGCATATTCAATTACATCTCAAACGCAACATTAAATTGAATAGAAAGGGAAATTGGGAGCTACCACTTCAACAAAGAAGCCGACCTGTTACAGGACCCGAGAAGTGAATAGTCAACGATAGCGTTTGTGGTAGGAAGCAAGCACCCATTCCCTTCCATGAGGCAAGCCAGTGTTGAACCTTCAAAATCTCCTTTCATGCGTGTCAGAAGAAAAGCATGAAATAAACCGCCAAGAATAGTCAAAATCGGACGTTTTCAGTTGTCAGTGATTGCAAAGACTAAACCATAAATTAAAGGAAAAACTTCCAATGTTATTTAACAAGACAAAGGAATAATACTCAGCACTATGATGCCTTCCCCACAAAGTAAGAATGATCCTCATTTTTTTCAGGCCTCCTTTGCAGGTCCATGGATCAAAAGAGAACAGTTACGAAGTCGAACACCACTAACACGGACATTTTACTTCAAAAAGAGGATTAAAATATACAAGAGCAATAGTATATATATTTGGAAATGATGGCAGAAATCGTATCATATGGATAATTAAAACAAGACTAGCGTTTTATTGTTTTAGAATAATCGATTTCTTACTGCTATCTATGAAATAGCAACATTGTGGAATGAAGATACGCCAAAGAGATTAAGTAATCATGAAACTAACCGTTCAGAAATAGTTTTCATCCACTGCTCTGTGGGCATATTCAACCCGGACCTAAGATTAAGCAACGGAAGGGCGGGAAGCTCTTGGACATGGATGAATATCACTATGTCATTGGGGTCAGCAGCATTATCAAGGTACCAGTGGACTGCTTTTTTAGCTGCTTCGCTCCCGTCGAAGGGAATTCCAACTCTGCGAGAATGCTCCATCACCTCATGGACGATATGTTAGAATTAAATGCTTGAATGGGGGCAAAAATGATTTAGTAGTTGTGGCCTTGCCGCCATTTACCAATGAGAGTGAAGAGATCATATGATTGGTCGATGACCTGGTGATTTGAAAGAAATTCTAGGCATGAATATGAATGTTTGAATTAAAAAATGTGCATTGAAGCGTGACGTTCATGTGGTATCTTATCAATTTGACTTCTATAACAACGAGAAGGACTCCGGTGAATGTTGATATGACCCTGTTGCGTCTATTCGGTTTTGCTAAACTTGCCATTTTACTATGTATTCAGTTGAAACGGCATGACAACATAAATGAAGAAGCGGTTTTTAATTATTTCTTAAAGCAGTCGGCATTTCCTTGTAATTTGGCACCAGTTAGACAAGACCATGTAGTCGGGAGTAGGCGGTTTAACTGTCATTTTTTATAAATTTTCAAATCTTCACGTACAGTTGGTGAACTGATCTATCATCCACGTTATCTCAGTTCTTCGAATATTTTAAATACCCAAATTGAATGAACCAAAGATTGCGAAATATTTCATTGACAGAATAGAATATCTCAATTTCTTTCATCCATGATTAAACAAACGCAATTTCTACCAAAAGGTTTGCAAATTAATGTGCGCTCAAGCATGATCGCTGCCCTAACTATCCTGATCATAAAAAAGTTCAAAAAGAACAATGAGATCAAATTAGTAGGGAGTATTTCAACCCAATGACGAGAAGAATGACAACCTTTCACTAAAGTTCCGATATTTTTCAAAGTGACAATATAGTGCATAAAACAGTGTATTCTGGATGGGATAATGCTTAGATTGATAATAACTTATTTTATCCTTCAAAACAGCCACAATTATTACATGGTTTTGATTGGAAAAAATTGGCAAATTTTTCTTCGTCAAAGACAATCTTTTCAATTTGGTCAACATAACACCGAAGAAGATGCAAATTCAATTCCATTTTCTTTGTCTGCACTTTTCTACATTTGCATTTAGAGCTCATTAATCTCGTTGTAAAGAATAGACATTTAGGGTAATTTACTGAGTGAGAAAGACCCAAACTAACTGGTTTGGACCAAGTTGAATCCTCTACATGGCCTAATTAGTGCCAGGCTAATATCAGTAGTCTATACCACTTGAATTCAATTGCAATCCATCTCTTCCCTTACGATGGAGGCATTATGTAAGTCTTCGCTTTCACGGCCCAAATTAATTTATTCTTCTTCTGGAATCATCGTTGACTTGTTTTAACTACTTCTTTAATTTAATGCGAGGATGTATTGTAAATAGATAGCTAATGACAAGTTTCTCGAATTCAGTGGTTCTAAAAATTGTCTTCTTGACCAATAAGCTTTGGCATACGAAATCACTTTTAGAAAAAAAGTTATTTGAAATGCTTTTTGGGCATTGGGCTTCGTAGCCATTCACATTAAGGCTATTTGCGTAAAATGGTAATGCAGACACCATTTCACTACTTAAAAATTCAAATCATACGATTTAGGAGCCCCTTTATTCCAATTAGCATAGAGGGCGGAGCAGAGCACACAAGTTAGTTGAACCGTTTACTAAAGTCTTGAGATATACAAAAGATGCACTGGAAATATTCTAGATGGAAAAAATGAAGGCGCTATTTACTCAAGGAGAAAACTTAACTTAATTTCTTTCTCTCATTAATCTAACACTTCAAGCTTAATATTGATCGTGGAATGTAGAAACGAGTGAAATTTCATATCCTAGGAGGATATTTTCTTAATTATAATGGAATAGAGCAACGAAAGAAATATGTAGCAATTTTTCATTCTGTTAAACAGTTTATAAACAATGATACGACAAAATAATATTGGAGAGGTGACCTTGAAGAGGGGAAGTGAGGTCAGTGCAACGAGAGCTCAGGCTCCACAACTCAACTTCTACGTTTTACTGTGCAGTTTCTTATCACGATATCCACAGTTTTTTTGACGATTTCCCTTTAACATCTAAAGCCGAATGACTTAATATTAGTTTTAATAAAATTTTTGTTATTGTTACGCATTTCATTAATTATTTTTTTGCTTGATCCGATAGCAGCTGGAAGGAAGTATCCAATAAGTTGATAGGTGTGGCACGTGGTGCCTCAACCATCATCCTAACTTCAGAAAAGGTCAGTTGGTATGAGCTTTCAATTTCATTTCTTACAAAGCGATTGAGTTCAAGTATATTACGCTTCTTCTTTTCAAGGTAAGTAGCCTATGTTCATTATTTTACTGCCGGCCTCAATGGTAACAGGTCATAATAATAATATGCTTTTTGTTTGCCACGACTTATAAACAAGTTGGGTGTGCGATAGACTTACCTCCACGTGGTGCACCCTGGGCAACGTATACTCATACGGCAAAAAAGTCTATTAACTGGCAATTAACTTCAGACTCCAAACTACCATCACCCCACTGCATGTCAAATTCGACTACTTCAACCGTACTCACCTCACCTTTTTTCTAACTTTGTGTCTGTCTGTCTCTTTTACATCTTTGAAACACTCTTCTGTCCCCCCCCCCTCTCGACCTTTTTCGCTTTGATGTTCCTTCCCATCTGTGAAGCCTGAAGTCAACTATAGGGCTAATGATAACTATCAAAACGCCTGCCATTTGATATAAATAAATGACTTATAACAAGTTACTTATAATTTGTAAGTAGACGATAAATATTATGTCAACACTA